AAATTCTTCCACGAGCAAGTTCTTTCCAAATCAGCAAAGGAGAAGCACGAAATGCGGAGCACCCAGAACTTAGTACAGCAAGCATGGTTCCAGTCTAACTATCCTCTTAGCAAAAGATGCTTAGCGTTTCGGACAGAAATTAAGGTATGATGATGCAGTCAAGGTGGGAAGCTCAAGGCTCCGACTTTTCTTCTTGCATTTACCGGTGCCAGTGCCAACAACAAAGTCAAAGCAACTGGTCAAGTTGATTCTTCTGTCGCCCAACAGAAAGCGCACTTCCTTCTCCAACTGGCGCAGCATCACGAGCTGCCCCACAGCTGCATACAGGCCCGCCCCATCTAGAGACAAAATGCATTTGCTGCAAACAAAAAGAAAGCACAAACTTACAAAACGCTTCATAACGATCAGCAAGCAACGCTTTCAGAGACGGCAGAAGCATCCGGCTAGGAAATCCGAGGATATCGCTAGAGGCAAGGAGACCATCTGCGCACTAAAAGGCGAGAAAAATTGCAGGCTGTGCTCGCGCGTTTCCACGCTTTCCTGCGTATCTAGATATGCGTTTAAGCCTCAATTCATGCACACAAGCATATACTTGTATGCGTGATTGCTGGCATTCACATTGCAGCAACACGCCGGAACATGAATTCACACAAACATGGACGTGATTCGCCTGTGTTGGCGTATGCACAGCGTCCGCGCAATCTCACAACTTAGTGCTTCCCACATCCCCTTAAGAATGCGTTATTACCTGCCGGCAGAGGAACAAAGGGGCGATATCTCCTTATAGATGGCTGAAGGGGAACCGCAGTAAACCAGCTCCAAAGTGGAGCTGAGGGACATCCCTAAGGACATGGTGGCTCGCAAGTCGATTAAGAGGTGGCATCCTGAAAAAACGAAAATCAACTTTGGCCAAGAGAAACGAATATGCTGATTTTCAGCTCCAGCACCATGCCCAACTGCGAAAAAAAGATTTTCTTTAAAAGTATACTGCTCCCTAGGAAATTCAGAGCAGCACCACTTCGATGCAGTGCTCTACTATGATTCCACTGGAGGCTTGTGAAATGCAAGCGCCTCCTGGCGTGGAGAACTCAACGCCTATTGGCTAGTCTACGATGACTCTTTGACCTAGTCCCCAGGAAGTAGAGTCTCGGCCCGAAATCTGCTATGAACCGTAACTATATAAGCGCATTCATGGTAATGCCAAAAGCAGCCACTGAGCAAAAGGCAGTGCTGCGAAACTGCCTCACCAGCGGACGGCACGAAGATAAACGAAAACTTGCGCCGTTTGGCCCTCACAGAAACGATATTACAGGGGAGAAGTTTCACCAGTTGCTGCTGTTCCCCCAGAGGAAGACTGTATTCCTCTCCGGTGTCTGTGTAGTGTCCGTCTGCTTCATAAAATAAAACATCTTCCTTCAGTTCTTCTTGGTCCTCCCCAATAGCTGGCCCTCCAGGCAGACTTGAAAGGCTCCTAAAGATGTCAAAGTTCCCCCATTCGCTGGGTGTACCTCCTCGTGCCATTTGTAACATCCACGAATGCAGTGACATAAAAGAATCCTCCCGAAGAGGAAACTTTTTAGGGCACATGTCTTTGTTGGTGTCGCATTTATCAAAACCCCGCTCCGCCTCAGCGGAACCTTTCGGCAACTGTGGGTCCCCGCTGTTGGCGCTACCAGTGCAATTTGCCGAAGTGCTCAACTGCGCATAAGCCTCGCTGGGTGCCGTAGAATGTAGAGGGTCTTCTTGGAGAAGGTGATGGCCTCTTGAAGGAGTTTCTTGGCTCAGTGGGACTTCACTGTCCTTTGGCTGGTCTCTTGCACTTGCACCATTCACGACCGTACTTTTTTCTGATGGGCCGTCTTCCGCTGTGGCAAGGGTAATCGGCCGCTTTGGCTCCAGTGGCTGCTGCAGCTTTGGTGGTGTGGAGGATGATGAGCTATCGACATCTTTCTCTGTTCGGGGCTCTCCAGTGCTGCCCTGAGAGCTAGTCTTCGTGCCTGGCTCGTCAAGAACAAAGGTCTCTGTCTCTTTCTTCGGAGTTACCCGGACGACCGTTGCTGCGAACGATTGTACAGGGGACTCACCGTCATTCAAGTTCCCCTCCTCAAAGAGAGCCGTGAGAGATACCCCTTGCACTGTCTGCGGAAGGCATGAAGATTCACTGGGATTGGCTTTTGTTGGGGGCAGTTCACAAGCCCGGGTCACCTCACATATCACGTCATCTCCAGAAGTTATCTCCGCCACAGGTCCCTTGCCCTCATCACAGGGACGCTCAGTTGCTGACTTGGTCAGCTTCCACTGTCCCTCGTTTGGCTTCGTCAAACGATCCCCACTCGACCCAGCAACAGTGCAAGCAGGCGCCTCACAGATGCCACTCCTTGGTTGGTTTCTCTCAACAGTGGAACCAGGATCGTTCTCCAGCAAGCCCTGGGATGGGCTACCCGGCAGTATGCCCCCTTTAGAGACATGCCAACGTGAGGTACTAAACGAGCCCTGCATTAGCTTAGGGCTGCAATCCTGTTCATATCTTGCTGACTGCGATGAGAAATGGCCCGTTGCATCACCAACAAACCTCGTGTTTTCGCTCACTAACCGCATCAACCCAGACATTGAAGGCCTTAGGACAGCTCCTGCACAGGGGGACCATGAAGGAGCACCCGCAGACGGATCTGTTGGAGGCTCCAGACTGTAGCGACATTCCAGGCGCATGTTTGAAAAGCCCATAAAAAGTGCATCCCAAAAAGGCTGACAGGAACCATCACAGGACACAAACTGCGTTCGTTGCTTCAATATACCGCGTGGCGCGGCTTCGAAACTTGATGACACAAAATACACCGACACAGGCTGCTGCGCTGCTGCGCTGTTGTGTAGCTGCGCAAATCAAAGCGGTTATTCCTGGATCCCTACAAGCTTGCCTCAGTGGTGTTCGAAACGGAGAGAGCGTAGTAGCCGGGCTGAGTGATGGTGACGTCAAAGAGGCTCGTGTAAACCTGCAAAGCAGGCCCACAAAGTGCCACGCCATAGTGGCAGTCCGTTTCTATTTGAAGGCCATGTTTCCGGTAACATCATAGCACTGGACCGCAGGGTTTTCAAGTGAAGGCTGGTACAGGAACTCGTGCTAGCCTTCCACGAGTCGGCAACCACGGGGTTTTAAAAGGGAAAAGATGAGGGTAAAACAGGAAGAAGGTACATGGTGTCTAGGCCTGAAAAAAGCCTAATGGCAGTTAAGCTGCAGCTTTCGTGGCACTTTCTGCGGCACAACACAAAGTGGAGGAGTCTCACCGGTCCTTTGCTGAGAGTCACTTCCTTCAGGTCATCTTCTGTGGGAAAGAAAACCCTTGCCGGCTCCATATTGGGGTCCCTAAAGTTGCAGCAATTCATTTCCGTGTGCGTTGCCCTCGCTGGAAGAAGCCCGGCTCAGGGGTTGTTCCCTTACCTTCGCTTCAGTGTCTGCACATGCATGGCCAGCCACACTGAGGACACTCGCTAGGAAGACACATCATCCCTGCGTGAAGCCAAATTGAGCCAGAACAGAGTTACTGAAATAATGAGGAAACACCCGTAGTGCGGTGCCTGTCTAGTTCGTCCGAGCAGCTGAGAAACAGCTCCACCCCCTTATTAAAATTTCTATGCAGATAGCTGAAAAGCTGAGCCCACGGCTAGAAGTTGTATTTCTCCCCTTATACGAACAGCTCTGACGGAAGGTAGTGACCCCTGGAGTATAGGAGTGGCCAAATGAAGCTGCCCAATGGCAACGTTGTTGGAGCGCACCTGAGCCGCTTTAGTAGCTTTTCCAAGTAAAGTGAATTTAGTTTTTGTACACATAACATCAGAAATTAGTATATAGTTAGGCAGAAAGCCAGAAGCGAAGCGCAAGTGTTCACTGTGTTTACCACTGGTCTCGAGATCGGTCATCCTGAAGGCCCCGCGAGGCCATCAACGGAAGTTGTGGTGATTAAAGGGCTAAATAAATGCGAAATACTATGGAGAACGTCTTTTGCAATATATATTAGGCAATTTTATTTGTGTTAACATCTATGCACGCCTTGAACGCAACTGACCGTACTAGACCTGACGTCGACGTGTGTTATAGGCTATCACAGCATCCCCTTTACCGTCACCTCACAGACACCGCGTAAAACGCTTAAAACATTACGGATTGCCAGGCGAGCTTAATCTCTGAACAGAAGATCTGTTTCCTGTCATAGCCCTCAAGGGGCAAAAGTCGACACGTCGACGATGTCCGTAAGTCGCAAGTAAAGAGGTGCAATTTTGGTGCGACGTCTGGCCATCGGCGGCTGGATACGCAACACACAGATCTCCAACCAGCACGCCTCTGTTGCTTTAGATCTCCAACCAGCACGTCTCTGTTGTTTTCGACCGTATCCAAAACCAAAAGATGTATGGCCCGCTCAAAAACTGGACATCATTGTCGAGTTGCTCGCCCTGCAGCCGTCCCCCCGTGTACCACAGTGTGGTACATGTTCTGTTCGTCATGAGGCGCTGCTACTCCCATCTGCTGAGTCGCCTCTAGGCGTCACTCTAAACCCTACCCTAGCCGCAGGCCACAGCAAACCACGTGGGTGAGAAACGCAAGAACCTCTAGCCTGTGGCAAGCGGCTCAAATCTCGTGCCTCCACTGTAGTTGCATATTGGAATGCTTCTGGCGACAACTGCCTTCAGCTTATCCAACGATCCGGTACATCCACACTGTGCATATTGCCGTGTCTGCAACTCTCGTTTGTAGTAGGCGGTAGCTATAAACTTAAAATTACAAAAGCAAAAATGCTGTAGCAATTCGGGCCCGGATTTACCCAAGACGGCCCAAATAATGCTTCCTACGGCTGACTGGGTCCAATGCCAGCAACAGCAAATGTACTCCTGCTCCCATGGGCCCCTGTGTCCCATGGAGATCCGAGGTAAACAAAGAGACAATGAAAGAACTACTCGCAGATATTTTCTATACGCAGCAACTGCAACCTTGAGCAACTACGCAATGTTCAGCTCCACATAGACGGATTCGAGTAGTTGCCGTACGTCTGCCTCCCTTGGTTGCTGTAGTTCTGGTTTTGCTGCTGGTACGACGTCTGATAAAAATTGCTGGCTAGCCCCGGAGGCTGCGAATAATGCGTATACGCGTTGTAGTTGTAATATCCCCCTGCCGCTGCAGCCACCGCGGCCTGCTGCTGCTGCTGCTGCTGCTGCTGCTGGTCCGCGCTGTTGCTGCTACCACCGCGGTGGTAAGTGCTGCCACTGCACCAGAAAAAGTACAGAACGTACACTACTCGAACTTCGGTACGCACAGTCCAAACCCGTGAATCACCAAAATATGTTCACCAACATTCTTTTAACATCTGTACGCCGTATTGAAGGGCACGCAAACTGCGGCCAAGTGCAGCCATCCAAAAGTTTCTCGCGACAGCAGCACTGTGTGACAAGTTGCGCTAACAGGACCTTAAAACAAACGCCTGACGCAACAACCCCTATGTAGAAAATCAGGCATGAACTTACAGCTGCTGCTGCTGTTTAAAATTGTTGCTCTTCCCGTACTGGCTGGACATCACGGAATTACTGTTCAACTGGCCTTGCTGCGGCTGCTGCTGCTGCTCCCCTCTGCCTCCAATGGGGCCTCCGGAGCTACTGCTGCTGGCAGGAGGGGGCCCGCTGTTGCCGCCGCTGTAGTGATACTGTGCACCAGCAGCATTACTACTCGCTGGCGGAGTTCCCACCTGCAAACGCATCAGCAACTGCAGAACCAAGAAATACTATCAAGCTCTACGCTATGTCACAGCTTTGCTGACGCCAACGTCAACAGCAGCAAAACAAGAATCCACTGCTTCGAGGTGCATGAACACCAGAACGGACATGAGGACCTCTTGAGCTCCCTTACTTTGAGTTGCGGGTGTTGATAACTGCTAGCTGAGAAGCCTGGGGGAACAGCTGCATTACCCGAGGCAGACGCTGCAGGGTAGGGGTTTGCTGCTGCTGCGCCCGCCACATGCAGGCTAGGATTGTAGAAAGTGGACACCCCTTGGCCTGCTCCTGCCGCTCCGGCCGGCGCTCCTGCAGCGTGCTGCTGGTGCTGCTGCGGACCGGTGACCCCAGCACCTGCTGCCCCTGCAGCGCCTGTGGCCGCTGGGGCCAGAACTACTCCAGGTGTTTGAGGCGCAGCTGCTGCAGCAGGAGCAGCAGCCGGTGCGGCTCCGGGTCCTCCAGCGCCTCCATACATCTCCGTGGGGGCCGCTCCCGCTGCACTTGCAGCTGCTGCATCGTCAAACGAGTCCTGGTGAGTATATGGAGGGTAATTGTGCATATATCCCTGAGGCAGAGCGCCGGGTCCTCCCTTTGCACCATAGGGGCCCCCCATGATGCCATAGTGCGGTAGCTGCAGGAGCAAACAGAACACGGACGATTACGATATCCGCAGGAAGAAACCACGTAAGACCACAGAGCAAACCAAGAAGCAGCACATCATGGGAAGCACAGGAAACAGTGGATATGACGTACCAAATTCCCGTGGCCGTAGTAGACGCTGTTGTACTGCGGATATGTCGTGAGTCCATGGTAGTTCGGGTAGCTGTAAGCTGCTGCTGCAGCTGCTGCTGGCTGGCCTGTCAGGTTCGGGGCCAGTCCAGGAGGCGGGGTGAACGCATGTGAGTTGTTGTACGCAGCCGCAGCCGCAGCTTGCTGCTGCTGCTGCTGCTGGCCTGGAGTTCCCTTCCCGCTGTTGTAGTGCTGCTGCTGTTGCTGCTGCTTCATATCCTCCCGCTGCTGCCGCTGTTGGTGGCTAGAACCGTCCAGTGACCCGCCTGCAGGAGGCGGAGGCTGTTGCTTACCTTGCTGCTGCTGCTGTTGCTGCTGCTGCTGCATAAGAGGACCCACACTGCGATTGAAGCCATTAGCTTCTCCCCAACCCCGACCTGTCTGCTGCTGCCCATAGTGCTGCTGCTGCTGGTGGTGCTGCTGCTGTTGCTGCGCGTAATGGTGCTGCTGCTGCTGCCCGTAGTGGTGCTGCTGCTGCTGTCCCCGCCGCTGCTGTTGCCGGTCGTGGTGAAGCCGCTGTTCCTGCTGATGCAGCTGTTGCTGTTGCATATGCTGTTGCTGCATCTGCTGCTGTGGTGGCTCAATATACGAACGCGCGACGGCCTTCTGCCCCGACTCTGCGTGTTGTTGCTGCAGTTGCTGTAGCTGTTGCTGCTGCTTCTGCGCTGCCTTCCTCTGCGCTGCTTCAATCTCAAAAATGCGCTCCATCTCCTGCTGCTGCTGCTGCTCTTGTTGCTGGGGCAAGTATATGCCTCCCGGAGAAGCTTCATATTCCCCACTAGGCTGCTGCTGTTGCTGTTGCTGTTGCTGCTGTTGTTGCTGTTGCAACTCTGGCGCAGCAGCCTGCTGCTGCTGCTGCTGCTGCTGCGGTTGCTGCTGAGGAGCCGCCTGGAAGGGCTCGAAAGAAGAGGCGACAGAGCCGAACACGAGTGCCTTCGCGCTAAAATTGGGAGCCCCCCTAAACCTCGCCGGCATGACGACGGGCTCAGCAGCGGTGACTGTTACAGCAGGCACTGCTGCTGTTTCTGCTGCTGCAGCCTCCGCCTCGGCTTCCCTCTTCTCCGCGCTCACAGGATCAGGCACGGAAGGTGTTGCCGGAGCTGGAGGCGACGGCTTCGGCGAACGCGGTGGGCTCGGCGCTGCTGCTGCTGCTGCTGTTGCTGGAGACGGGCTCCTTGACCGTCCCTGAACTGCTATGGGAGACAGTTCGCGTCTGTAAGCGGAAGTGGGGGGGGCAACTCGCGAATCAGGCTGCAGCAACGCCTGACTTTGCGGCTGTTGCTGCTGCTGCTGCTGCTGAGTAGGCGCAACCGGCGAATGCGACCGCGGCGAAGGCCCACACGGTGTGCGCCTGCCTTTGTGCGCCGCACTTCCTGTTGCCGCTTTGGGGCTTCCCGCTGCCGCTGCGGTCTCGGCTTTCGATTCAGCAGCAGCTGGAGCTGCTGCTGCTGCCTGCTGCTGCTGCTGCGGTGGCGGCTGCGGTGCCGGCCTAACCAGGCGCGCTGCCCACGTTCTCGGCTGCGTCGGTGCTACGTGTGTCGCTGCTTCTGCTGGTGCCGCCGCCTGTGAAGCTGGTACCTCTTCTTTTGAGGCAGACGACGCCCGCTGCTGCTGCTGCTCCTCTTGTTTGACACAACTGGATGGAAGGCTGCCGTCCGGACCCTGCTGCTGCTGCTGTTCCGTACTTTGTGGCTGCCGCTCTTCCGGTTCCTGCGGCTGCTGCTGCTCCGGTTGTCCTTCAGGTTGGGCTTGAGGTTGCTTCCTACTTTCCTGGTCCCTCCCTGTACACAAACACATAAGAGCTCCTAGCCACGTAGCTGTCTACCACATCCTATAGGGCCCCTTGCATGTGGCGCTGCTGTTTGCTCTGCTCTTGCTCACCATTTTGTCTTCTTGCCGAGTTGCTGCGCCCGCCAGGTCCCCGCTGCTGTTGTCTGCGTCCCTCGAAGCCCCTGCCGTCTCTCAGCTGCCTGTACCCCCTGACTTGTCTGTTGGCCGGCTGCTGCTGCGTCTGCTGCGCCTGACTCTGTTGGTTCTGCTGTTTTTTGTTGCCGCCGACCATCTTCCATGAACCCTGCTCATGGCCTGTGCTCTCCTCTATGACCCGCGCCACTTCGCTGTGAATGAGGTCCTCCCGGTGCTCCAAGCGCCGCACGAGTTGTAGCACGTCCTGCTTGCTGTAGTTATAGCACTCTAAAACTGGGTGTACCGACTCTACCATGCTTGCTGTTCGGGGAGACGCTGATCGAACATCATCTGAGGGGAAGGCCATACGCATGTCACGCACAAGTGAAAGGTGGGAAGCGACGCGAGGGTCTGACAAGGACGCAGCGGGGGGGGGTCTCGGTGCACTGCCGACGGCCGCTGCTGCTGTTGGCTGCTGCTGCTGCTGTTGCTGAGAGGACGGAGCAGAACTCTTCGCCTTCCACTGAGTCGTGCCTCGGGCCCCCCCTCTGGCGGGCATCCTGGATGCCGCATTTGGGCCTTCCTTTCGCTCTCTGTTCCCCCACCTGCCTGCCAGCTCTGCGGAAGCCCTAGTCTTTGCGCTCGACGGCCCTTGGGAAGGTCCCGGAGGAGATGAAAGAGATGTGGAACCCGCCGCAGCGCCGGCAGCAGAAGCCGCAGTCGCAGCAGTTGGTGTGGTGGCAGGTCCACTCGATGAGGCCGCACCCCCCCTAGCCATTGTACCCTAATTATCTAAGACAACGCTTATCCTTGTGTATTCAAGCGAGGAGGCAGCTGCAACAAACGCTTCTCACGGCAAAGATCGCACGCAGTTCTGATGACTTTCTGATTGCTGCGCGGGTCGTGCGCCAGCAGCAGCTGCTGCATGAGGTGCCCCGCTGCTACTGCTGCTGCTACTGCTGCTCCTCCAGCACACTGCCAGCCCCACAGCAGCAGTGGTCATTCTGAAAATGTGTTGGGCACAAATGCAATGCTTTGTGACTTGTATTTATCACTCGATTTTTAAAGCACATATTTAGAGAAGCAGAAGGGATACATAGCCAGGTAGCCAGTGCCGCTGCTGTGCCCCCCACTTCTGCTGGTGAGGCGGGTGGCAGTAACGAGACGCAAACAAAATATGACGAGGCGTCTCGTCGACAAGCAAATTGACTTTTGGCAAATAAATACGTAAGAAAAGCAGCAGCGAGTTCCTCTACCTGAGAGAGGCAGGTGAGCGTGTAGACATTTCGGGCCCGTAGTGCCGTGCGTTGGAGAGGTTTTGGCAAGTCTAACGAGTCTAACACTCGTCTATTGAGGAAGCGCTGGAGTAAGACGACACAGAACTAGCTCAAGCTCTCTTGAGGCTGTTCCTTGTAAGTGCTTTGCCAGCTCTCTCTGCTTGGCTCTCGAGGGCGTCTTCAGAGCAGTGGTGCCTACGCTCCTAAGGGTAAAAGGAAGGCGTGGACTCTGGTTATTGGCCATTAATTGGGGCCATTCCCTCTCTGGCTAATCTTTGCGACGCGTTGTTCCATAATGCTCAGCCATCCGTTCAGGGGGACCAGTGTCTCGAGATCAGGGGCATGTCCTGACGTGGATTGGATTGTGGTGAGCGTCAGTTATATTACAGGGCAGCGATGGAGTGACAGTTTTCTTCCAGTAGGGTCCTGAACTGGATTAGAGATGTATGAGTTCCAGCGACTTCCCCTAGTCTCAGACTTTCCAGCGTCATTAAGCATTGGAGGGTCAGCAGGACGCCTAGTTGGGGTATATGCTACGCTTTTGACTATATAAGCACGTTTTTCAGCGGGGTATTTCAGAATGCGCCTTCAGTTAAACCATGTGAGGCCTAATGGCTCGAGACTGAGCCAAGTTCCTTTGTAGTTTAAATGGGTTGGGAAGTAACTGAGACAAAGCTAGTAAGCTTCGTTGATGGCCACCGCGCTACATTTACTGACAAAATGAGATAAATATGGGGGGCATCTTTCGGCTATGTAAAAGCCTTTTGGGACGATATACCGGCCTTCTCCGCCTGATTAGGGCTGGTGAAGCTAACCGCTAAAATAAATGAAGCGCCACTGGAGAGCGCCTCAGCTGCAAAATAGCGCATAGAAAGGTTCCAAATTAGTCTGTCTGTTTTTGTTGAGCTAAGGTCCCATTATGGTTGCCTTCTAGGCAGGGTGAAGAGCGCGGAAGCCAACAACGCGTTATTGAAGAGACCCCGAGAGGGGCATCTAATAGGCCTGCTTCGTTAAAAGAGGCTCACTAGACAAACTCTTAGAAAAGGCAGTGCTTGAGGCATGCAAGATGTCCTGAAAGAGACCAAAAGAGCAGAATCCTGGAGGCATTCTCTGGAGACCGACGGCAGTTGTGTCAACGTGGTCACACCCAGTGTCGTTTTGAGGGTGAAGCTGCCTTAACACTAATACAGAAAACGAGTTTGCATGCTAGAAGAGAAAATCAGAAGGAAAGTAATGCTCGAGGAAATGGAAAAGCTTCTGAGTTTCCCCACGGCTCTGCCTCAACGTTGTCCCCACCTCTGCTCTGCACAACCGGAGCTAATTTGACCTGTTCTTTAAAGCGAAGTGGATTGTGCAACTCCGTAGACGGCCGTGCATAGAAGTACCGGAAAGGACGTACACTGCACATGTACACACAACGAGCATCGAGGGTGGATTCTGCAATGCACCACGCGTAGAATTCGAGAATCGAATTAAAACGCACACACAGACTGCATACAGGACGAGATTACACTACTAAGCCGCCGGTAAAAGGATACGCGGACCGGCTGCATCTTGACCAGCTGTATTTGCTCAACAGCCGACCGTTGATGGGGGCACCCTATCAGGATGTTGGTGAAAGAGCACTTGAAGGGAGCCGCTTTACATAAACAGCTCCTAAAAAACAAAAGACGGAAGCACCTTCAGGGCATTCGTAGGTCTTGTGGAGAGTTGTTTTGCCGCTGTGGGAATACGCTCTAGCTGATGTCGACGGAAGCCTGTTGGATATCCTTAGATGTCTTGCCTCACTATCGTTCGCTTAGCTAAGGGAAATTACGGAGATGGATAACTGGCAGTCGTCCCGTGAGCAGTTGCTTTGCGATAATCAAAGTTTAAAAAGGTGGCATCAAAAGGAAGGATATCATTAGACTACAATTCACAGGCCGCAGCCCTAGTGATGCGAAGCGTAAGTTTAGGAAGGGGAAAAGGCTCTAATATCCACCTTTGCACCAATGAAGGCTCACCTAGCGAGAATACAAACATAAATTTCAGGGAACTGTCCACATCAGCCGGTTGAAGTTGCCAAGATGCCTTTTTAATCAGCGTTAAGCGCGCCCAGTCAAGTGAAAGATGTGGCGGAGACAGGTAACGCAAAGCGAAGGGCTCGCTAACCCAAATATGTAGACTGCACCGCAGTGGCAGTGGCTGTGCAAGATGCTCCGTTAAATATGCCCTCAAGTGCCGAATCGGTTTATGTAGCCTTAATATTTTGGTGGCTTTCCTTTTTGAGTGCTTTTGGGCACATCTTCGAAAATTTCTTTGGTAATGGTGCATCATGGGAACTCGCTCATTGAAGAACGGTCACAAGTCGCGGTGCAGCAGGGTTGGAGGTAAATTTTTTCAAGGTCACTTCCTAGTGGGGCCCTTAGAGGAGAAAGGGCAGATTAAGTAGTCAATAGAGAGGCATGCGCAAATTGGGATGCCCTTCGTAGACCAGTGTAAGAGCTTATCATATTGGCCTTGCGCACTGAAGGGGAAGAGGAGTCCGCATAGCTCAGCACAAAGCTCCACTTGACCCTCTTTCATGAAAGCTTGCAAGCAGTTGAAGAGCAGAGCAGCCCAACTCAGGCGCTCAAAATACTTCGTAAGTGCGGAACTGTTCTTCCCCAAGCACCGCCAGTCGGACCCCGCAGCACTTCCATGATTAGATGACTTTCCCTGCTCTGATTAGATATTACTACTGTGCGGAAATGTATTATTACACTACAGCATGCCTTGACTTCTGCGTAAAATGCCGACCACCCTACGCACGTGATTAGAAGCCCTCGGTCCCTCATTCGCCCAATACTCTGTAGCGTTAAACTTCATTGCACAATTTTCCCGCACTGCCGCTTAGAGTTACTTTACACCAGTATTTGCGGACTTTCAGCAAGGCGGCTCAGTTCAACTCCAATGAATGGACAATCAGAGTTCTGAATGGTGTTCTCTCTATTGATACATCCCCTATTCTGTGCCACGGTATCCCTTAAGTGCTCATTTTCGAACGGAACCTTTGATTTCAGTCGGATATGTATGAAATTCTCTTCATCGGCTTACTGTGTCGTGTGCCAGTCAACGTAGTGCGACGGACACAACGGACGTGTCTAACGCGAGCCCCAGCAGAGAAGCCCCACGGACACCCAGTTGGACAAGCGACAAAAATTGTGCTTCGTCCAAGCTCTTAAGCTGTCGAACAATACAAGTGACTGTTTTGTTGAGCTCTCACCCTATGTTGTGACTGCTGGTTAGGCTCCCCCTTAGGGCAGGCTATCTTCACACGGTAGGCACTTTGCTGGCACCACTTACAATTACCCCATCACAAAGCTCTCCCCACAGGTATAAGGTCGACTGTAGAGTACCAATGTGTTAAGTAGCAGCAAAGGGCCTGTGGCCTACGTGATGCTCACGCGGCTTGATATTGCCTAGGCGACGAGAACAAACAATGGCTCAGCAGGAAGCACTTGCGTACTGTCAATCAATGCCTTATACGCAAACCTCGCTCCGAATTATCTATGTGAGATTCATTGTTTCGCCAACACAACTTGTTAGCTTCCTGGACTGAACACGCCGAGCAGCCCGAGAGACTAGCACGGGGCAAATTGCATCCTGGACCAGTGGGGCACCAGATACGATACTTTATATTTTGTGAAATAATGAGGCGCTCTTGACAAGCTTCTTGAGAAACAGCTCGATATCTAACAGGCAGCCGTGCATTGCTGCGAATTCGGTAGTGCCAAGCATACAGAAGCCGAGAGGCGTGCCTCACCCATACTGTCAACCCCTTAGGGTCCCTTTCCCACCTGCCTTTCTTGTTTCCTCATACTCTGTTTGTCATTATATGCCCACAGACTCTCCTTCATGCGTTCCTTGACTTTTTTTCTCTCCTTATATTCTACATTTCGTGGCACACATTAGAAACCCGCTTCCTCTGTAGGGGCTGGTTTCGCGTTCCGCTCATGAGACATTTCGTGCAGAGGGAAATTTGATAGCAAGTATTCATATACGTGTTACGAAGGAAGCGATAGTACAACTACGCGAACCAAGTAACATAGCCAGAAAATATGCTATGAGGAGCAATTAACAGAAGACCAAAAAGTCTTATTGCTGCTTTTTCTGTTATTGTTAATTGCTTTGCTCGTTCTTGTTGATGCATTAGAGCATCTAATGGCCTAGTAAGTTTCCCACAGTAATTATAGTGTGTAGCACTATGATGTTGCACCAGTACAACCCCATAAAGTTGCAACATTTACTATGCTACACGTGAAGCATTATTAGAAAATTCACAGCTAGGGAAACCAGGCTTTTGGCCAAAATTTAGCCTAAGGTGTCAGGCTGCAAGGCCAGGGAATGGAGCTAGCTGTGTCACCCGTACAGCGTGCGGGGGATGCACGCATACCGAGGGACAGCAAACTCCTTCGGGAGACTAGAACAGCAGCAGACTTGAATCTTTCACTTTTAAGGGTCTATTTGGGCTTCATTGGCC